TAGTTCTTCTGGTCTCATAGTTGTATAGGTTGCAGATCGGATGGTGTACCAGTCGCTAGGACTGATTGTTTCCATTAATTTTGGTTTTCTTCTTTCTCGACGAGGAGAGACCCGTTGTTGCATCTAGATGGCAGTCTCCTAGCTTTTAAGGTCCCAGTTGCTACTCGCCAAAGTAGTAGGTGGAACAATGTTTTGTTAGTATGTTATGCCAATTGAGCTTGATGTCCCCTGTGACCATGGTTCAGGGTAGCTTTTTTGTTTTTCATTCTGCTTGAATGTTTTCTCACAGATCCCCAATTTAACAACTTATCTTCTTCAGGTCTTGATTCCCAATATCACTTTTCTGAATCCTTTCTTAACCTAATGTAAACTCGTGATCCCCTTCCCTAATATTCCTTCTCTTTCTCTTTTTGAGGTAGCCATTTTTCATGCTTTATTTTTCTTTGTTACTTAATACCACCTGATATACTCAGTATGTTACTTACATAAGCTACATGAGGAACAGGATTTTGTGTGTTCCACCTGCTACTGTTTGTAGGCTAAATGTTGAATAAAAGAAGTGAGGTTGCTTGCCAGGTTATAGAAATGCAGGGAGGCTGGTAAAGGAGCAGAGGGCCAGGGGGACATAGTAACAGAAGAGGTCTGAGTGAGGTGGTGGGAGCCAGATCTTAAAAACCATGGCATGGAATGAGAAGTCATCCAAGGTTTGGGAGCAGAAGCAAGTCACTTTAGCCTGTTCATGTGCTCATTTTATCAGATCTCATAGTGACTCTATCTGGTACCTACTATGAGCCAGGCATTGGACTTAAAGAAGTGCAAGACAAATGTGGTTGCTGCTTTAATGAAGCTGAGAGGCTTTGGGTGGTGGGATATCTCATTAAACTGCCCCACTTAAATGGGCCTTCTCTTATCCAAGTACTTGATCATTTTAGCCTGTGCATGTTTTGTTTTTTCACATTTCTTATTTAACTGAAAAGTTGAAATTTAAATTAATTCACGAGCCCTCATCTGAACAAAAGGGTAGTAGTTCCTAACCCATAGTCTTGCGCAAATGTGAGTTAATGAGTGAACCTAAAGCATCTGGGACCATACCTCAAATTTGGAGAGCTCCATAGAATTAACCATTAGACTTCTTGGGAGGGATCTCTGCTTTTTAAGTATAGATCTTGCAGGGGTTTCTGCCACTGGTTGGTTATGACAGAACTAACGGAGGCATACTGTGCAAAGAAGTTTCTGGTTTTGAGGTAGCCATTTTGTTGTGGTATATATTGGTTTCAGATGCCAGTAACACTTAGATTAATATGAACCAGTAAACTAGTAGCATTGAATGATCTGCTACAAAAATATGCCATGTCTTGATTGCAATAAATGTCACAGAACAGAATATGTATGGACTGTTGAATGGAAAATCAATTTGCTCTGTAAACTTTCACCCAGATCACAATTTTTAAAATGTATTTATATATGCCCTGCCTTCAGCTGTTTACTTAAGTGTTGTATCTGTGAGAACATTTGTGGAAATGTTAGGCATTTAATTAATTAATTGTGCTTGTTTAAATCTTAGAGGCTTCAAGAAGCGTGCCCCTCGGGCACTCAAGGAGATCCGGAAATTTGCCATGAAAGAGATGGGAACACCAGATGTGCGCATTGACACCAGGCTCAACAAAGCTGTCTGGGCCAAAGGAATACGGTATGAAAGTTCTTTGTGTTAAAAAATGAATGTGTACAGTTACATGGAAATAAAAAGCAAATGTGTGACAGTGACTGAAAGGGTGAAATAGCATCTGTAGGGAAGCCCTTTAAAGTGACATTTGAACTGAGACCGAGCTGATGCAGGGGCCATGGGCAAAGAAACAGTGTGGTGTTTTGGTCTACATAACATCTTGTAGAACACAGGTCAGTGAAGCTGGAGAGCAATGAATGCCTTGAACAGTCAGTGACGATGGAGAAACAGGCTGGGGCCACACCATCTAGCATCTTGTGATCATGGTGAAGAGTTTAAATTTATCCTAGACATAATAGGAAGCCATTGGAGCAGTGGTTCTTAACTGGGGGTGATGTTGCCACCCTCAGGGGATGTTTCATTATCGCTACTAGGTATTGCCATTTGCATCCAATGGGTAGAGAACGCAGATGGTGTACAACAAAGAATTGTCCAGCCCAAGGTGTTAATAGTGCTGCTGTTGTGAAACCCCACATTAGAATGCCATAAATGGGGGTGGTATATCCTGTGGAAGATGCTGTAAAGTACTAGAGTGCAAAGTAGGGGGCCAGTTAGAGGCATGGTGATGGATAGACTAGTCAGATTGTGTGTGACTGGAGCTTGAGACAGGTGGGAAAAGGACCTGAAACTGTTAAGCTTACTGTGCAGCATTAGGGGTCTGGCAGGGCAGTATCCACTAAGGCCCAATAAGATGAGGGAGAAATGGTATCATGTGAGCCAGAAGTCCTGACTTTCAGGAATACAGTGCCTAGTATGTCCTTAGATCATAGCAAGAGGAAGCACAGTGAGCTGTAAGGCTGCTGAGATTTTGGGTGAGATGGGATCAGAATCATAATCAGATGGCCATGTTGGTAAGTAGAGGCAAAAAACAGCACTTTTGAATGTAAGTGGTGGCTGCTTGCTCAGGCATGCATCCTGAGATGGCAGCATTTGCTGTCCACCTGTGGGGGTGTTTTTCAGGGAGCTGATAACCCATCTAGAGGCTGGTTGGTCAGATTACAGCGCTGGACAAACCATTAGGAGCATGTTACAGAAATGATAGATGGGATGTATGACTATGGTTAGGATCTCTTTTCTTGAAAGGAGACATTGCCTTTAGTGAAACATTTGTATTTTCACTTAGAAATGTCCCATACCGCATCCGTGTACGGTTGTCAAGAAAACGTAACGAGGATGAAGATTCACCAAACAAGCTCTATACATTGGTTACCTATGTACCTGTAACCACTTTCAAAAGTAAGTTTTACACAATCCCAAAGCTATTTAAATTGGATTTAAAAAAAAGTTTTTAGCTCTTTTATAATCTCAGTTTAACTGTTTAACAAATACTTACTGTGTATCTGTATGCTGGGGAACCTTCCAGTAGGGATTGTAAGTTAAAAATATGGTCATTATACCTATTGAAAAATTAGATAATGGTATGGGAAGATGCTGGAGGATACAAAACTGGTCCATTAAAGACATGGAAAGAGTAGAAAGAAAAACTCCCAAAGATCATATGGAAAATGGAGTAATAAAAAGTCCTAAAAACTTCAAGAAAAGATTTTGAAGTTCAATTGGTGAAATATGTGACTAGAAATTGACTCACTGGTCTTTCTTTTGCAGACCTACAGACAGTCAACGTGGATGAAAACTAACAGCTGATTATCAAATAAAGTTTTAAAACTGCCTTCATGTGATTCTGTTTTCCTTTTCCAAATGCAATTACCACATGCTTGTTGTGAGGTGGGTATCCAAAGGAGGTTCTCAATGGTGAAATCATTTGGAGAGCTTTCTTCAAAGATTGATGACTGAGCTCACCACCTAGAGCTCTGGTAGCATAGTGCCTAAGGCATTTGACTGCTAACCAGAAGGCTGGTGGTTCAAACTCCTTGGAAGGAAGACTAGGCAGTCTACTTACCTGGCGATAACTGCCTCAGAAACTCAATTCACTAAAGGCAATTTTGAAGTATAACCTGGTTTGAGAACTGCTGCCCTATATAGTTTTGTATCCTCCAGCATCTTCCCATACCATTATCTAATTTTTCAATAGGTATAATACCCATATTTTTAACTTAACAATCCCAACTGGAAGGTTCCCCAGCATACAGATACACAATAAGTATTTGTTAAACAGTTAAATTGAGATTATAAAAGAGCTAAAAACTTTTTAAAATCCAATTTAAATAGCTTTGGGATTGTGTAAAACTTAACTTTTGAAAGTGGTTACAGGTACGTAGGTAACCTGTGTGTAGAAATTGGAGGTATAATGTTAATGCTGCTTTGCATGTTCATTTGCCATTGGTCACTTTGAGCTGCTCATATAATGACATCTGTAGCATCTTAGATTTAATGAAACACAATTATACATCTTTAAGCTTCTGCCTGTGTGCAGAGTATCTGAAAAACAGAGTCTTAGAATGATGATTTTTGATGGGGTAATGAGACCATGTTTTTGTGTGAGAACTCATTTTAGCTCATTTGTAATAGCCCAGTGAGGTGTTTTTAGCCAAGGCTCGGGTAGTTTATTATAGTAACAAATCTTTGCTGTTAAATTCAGCCCTAAAAGCTAAGTGTTGCGGGATTGTTTTAACCATGGAACGTTTATTAAATGTCACCATAAAAAGGTCATTCTTTGAAGCTCTATCAGTGACCATGCTGCATAGCCAAGATGGGGCTGACAACCACCTACAAGTGTGTTGCATTATCCATAAGAACATGGTTGAGTGATGGCAAAGACACCTGACCAGCTCATCTAGTCACTGCCACAGTTCACCTGGGCTTCGTGTGGATAAGAACAGTCTAGATCTTAAAACACTAAGACAAAGTGAAAGAAGGACCAAGTCAGTACAAAAATGTCTTATTAAAAAACTTGGAGGCCAACGTTGAAAGCATGGTTTGTGCACATTTTTGGAAGGACATACAAAGTGAATACAACCAAATACATTAAAATGGTTTCAATTACCAGCATTGAAACAAAATTAGTGCAAAAAAAAAAAAAAGCTAAATACAATTGCACAGATAGTGGCTCTTAGATCTTGTGAACTTGACTCTAAAACCACACCCATCAAGCAAGTGAAAAAAGAGCTTGGGGCTCCTCTCTCAGTACAAGAAAGCTGACTTGTTCCTTATGAGGAACAAAATCATACAACAGAAACGCTCGTTTCGTCAAATCCAGTTAAGTGAAATTAGAGGTCATGGTGTCGTGCGAACTGTTGTATAGATAACCCTACAGCACTGACAATGTCCAGTTGTTGATTTTCTTGAATAAACAAATGTTTGAAGGTTGCATCAGTTTCCCTGGCCGCAGTTCTGGCTGTCAGGTTGCTCTATCCAGATCCCCAGTATGTAAAGGGTGTACTCCAAAGGAACTAGACAAATCTGGATCTGCAGGCTGACAACCCAAGAAACATCCTGCGATCCTTGCTTTGGTATGGTGGGCTCCAGTGTGCTCCACAGCAAGCTGCTGTCCTGCTACCGGTTACTCAGCTTGAGTTCAGGCTGAGATTGGTGGCTCAATTCAAAGGTTTTGAGACTGTACTGATTGATCTTGGCATTTTCGAGTTTGCATTTAATTTCTAGTGGCTTTTCAAAGAAGTTTACTAGTGATTGTTCAGTCAGAAGTGATGCTAAAATGTGTTCAAGAGAGACAGTCCAATCCTCTTCTCTACCTGTCTCATTGGGACATATTTCAGAGTCCTGGGGAATAGTTCCAGTGTCGGCAAAAACAGAGTCCTGGTCAGGAGAAGGCCCTGAAACCCGCAGGTCTTCCCCTGCCTCCTGGGAGCAGCTTCCAGAGCTGCTGCTGCGCTGCCCTACTTCCCCTATCTGCAGCAGGAGAGTGGTTACCGTGGCGATGGCTTGATACAAATCGTTTTCTTCTGGATCTTCATGGAACATACTGTACAGAGTTTTACAGAATTGGATAAATTCTCTCTGGAATTAAAAAAAAGTTTATATGTGGTAGCATAACCAGGACGGAAGTATAATTATTTTTTAAAAAACTAAATTACTTGAGAAAACCATCTAATAATTTTTTTTTTTTAATGTGCCATCAAGTCAGACCTGACTCATAGCGATCCCTCCTTGGGTTTCCGAGGCAGTATCACTACGGAAGTAGATTGCCCAACCTGGAAGCAAAATGTAAGGAAAGGTAGTCTCTACCACGCCACTCTGGAAACATGCTATTCAAGGTGATGTCAGGAAATTTTAGCACACTTGGAAAGGTTAATACAGCAACTACAAAGCAATAAAAATTAATGTATGCCTTCTCAGAGGATGTGCACACACTTTAACCCAGCAAGTCAACCTGCAGATTCATCCAAAAGAAACCAGAGCTAGTGTTTATAGTAGAAAACAGTTGGAAACTGCCCAAATGCTATGTTAAATAGTTAAAATTCATCTGGTAGGAACATCACACAACTACAGGTTTTAAAATGATGGAGTAGACACTGCCTTCTCGGGTTATAACATCCTCTTGCCTAAATGGAGACTAATGTGATAAGTGATGTTCCAGGTGAGATTCTGCTACACAGTTACCTAGGAATAGAGAAAAGGTGGAAAACTAATTTAACAATATTTAGTGATTTTGGGAAAACTACAATTATTTTGAAGTAAAAGAAAAGTATTAAACATTATGAACCCACTTTTGTTTAAATCATTCATAATGAAAAAGAAATGGTGTATGTACACCAGAATGTTAGAGTGAAATGAAAATCTGAAAGCAACTCCCCAGGAGAGTAGGACAGCATTTCTCAAATGCTGTGTGAAAACAGTGATGCCACAAGCAGTCTTTTAGTTTTTTTTTAAAAAAAAGACTGAGAAGGATGACATGCTAAATTCCTCTTCTGAATACCCACAGTACACATGAGCACTGAAAATAAGTCCTAAAAGGAATGTTTGCAACTTTCAGTCTACATTTCCCAATGCCAGAAGGACCCTTTTCAAAAATAGAAACCAAAAAACACCATCACCTATTGTGATGCAGTGAATTACTTAATAAGACTTTCTAGCCATGGTCTTTGTGAGTCCCACCAGATGACTGCGTGGCACTATGCAAGTGTGAGGTGCTTGTGGTCCAGCAAGGGGATTGGATAGCTTACAAATAATGTAAATAAGGAACGTGGCATCCTTGTGGGGTTGGGGCCATGCAAGTAAGCTTTATGGAACTCCTAATGTGGGGATTGGTCGGTTAGGCTGTCTGCTGGCTTAAAATGAGCCATCCCAGAGGCAGAAAGGGAAGAATCACACTGCCATAAAGAAGAGCCAGGAGTAGAGCCCGTCCATGGACCCAGGATCCGTATGCTGAGAGACAGCAGGCAGCAGAACCAAGAGATTGGCATGAGATCTAGTGGTGGGTTTTCTGGCCCACAGAGTGAGAAAGCTGAGTGCCTCTGGGCAAGAGGCTTATTGGCACAGTGGGTGCCTCTCTAGGCACCTGTTGGCAAAGCAGAAAGCTTCCTAACACTTGCCTGAGTAGGTCAAAGGTCAAGGCCAAAGAGAAGCATGTCTGGCACAGCTGAGCATCTGCTGTGCTGGCTGAAGAACTGTATCCTGAGCTGTTTCTGATCCTGAATTATACATAACTTGTTACTTCCCTAACAAACCCTTTAATCCTAAGTATTGTCTATGAGTTCTTCAGCAGAGAAGCAGAGAGTACTGTGGGAGGGATGGCTGGTGTCAGAATTGGTAAAAGGTTGGAGGGTAGAGGCATGTCTGACCTCCGTGTCATAGGAATAAGCCTTGGGCTGTTCATCTTGATTCTCTCCCTTCCTCCTGAAATTTGAAGATGTCAGACGATGTTGCCCCACACCCTTTTTGCACTTAGCACCACCACACAGCACTGGAGGTCAGTGCAGAACCCTTAACTAAAAATGCTCAGAGGTGGAGATTCCTGTCAGTACTGCATACCATGTAGTAAGTGGTTTTTCAAGAAAATCAAGCATGTACACCAATATTTTCTAGGGAAGAATGCTGTGGGCACCGTTCCCCTGTCTCCAATATGCTTCTGTCACCTTAGTGAATAAATCTTCATCACCACCTGGGTAAATGAATTTAAGATTTAAAAAAAAAAAAATCTTTAAAGACACAAAGTGTGTATCAGCCTTCTCTTACAAGGGCTTTGAATATCTTGAATGAAGATATGTATGTAAACATACATATATATATATATATATAAAGGAAGTCTGGTGGTGCAGTGCATAAGGCTTTTGACTGCTAACCAGGTTGGTGGTTCAAACCTATTAGCCACTCTGCGGAAGAAAGACTGGGTGATCTACTTCGATGAAGATTTACTGCCTCAGAAATCCAATGGGGGTCGTCATTATGAGTCGGGATCAACTCGATGGCATTGGGTTTGGTTTATGTACATAGATATGGAATATCTTTGAATCTCTGCACTGATCACAATTTAAATATTTCCCATTTAATTACCACAATGTTGACTTCACAGAAATTACAAGACCCTTTAATTATGTCTTTGGAGATCTAGGGACTGAAAGCCTTACCCCTAAACAAATCATTTGGCAAAATAGTTCATTTTCTGCACAGATTAAACCCCATACCTGGCTCATTTTGGGTAACTCTTTCTCAGTTTTATCTTTTTCTTTGGCTAAATCCTTAATCATCTGCTTCAGCTGTTTCTGATAATCAGTCGCATCACCTTGAGGTAAAGGAAACACAATATATAATTTAATCTAAACAAATTCAATGAAAACAAACAGGGAAATATGTAGAAGGTCATGTTGAAGGGATGAGGAATTCCGTATGTAAATTCCCACACAGACCGTGAAAGCAGATGACTGACCAATGGCCTATGGATGGAGTGTACTAGCTGGGCGACTTTTGCTTCAAAAGGACCCATGAAACGCATTCAGTGGGAAGAAAACACACGAAGGGGGGGGCGGAGGCAACACCTGAACTCAGGAGGGTTCTGGCTTCTGAAAGCAGTGGGCTTCACTCATGGGAGGGAGCAAAGGGGGGATAGACAAGTCTCTACTGGGAGGAGTAGCTGAAGTCAGCAACTGCAGTGGTGCATCCAACAGGAAAGAAACAACGAAAAGTGGTACGTACCATTTGATTTCCCAAAAACCAGGGGTCTTGAAGTTGACAACAGAGGATTTTTTAATGGTGACTGACTGTCCTGGTCATTTTCAGTGAGTGCTTTGAAAATAAAAAAAAGAAAAAATATATTTAAATCAAACAAAATTCATTCTGAACAACAAAAGAGTAATTTAGCTTTTTAAACTAAGGCAGAACTACTGTCAAAGCCAGTAGTTCCCAATCTGAGTTGCAGAGTCTTTGCCTGGTCCATGAACCCAAATGCAAACGAGGCATCACTGGACACACCAAAAAATAAAATGCCTTACAGACCTAAGTATGCCTTTTCTCAGAGGCATGTCAATATTGATGTAATTAATACTACACAGATTCACGGAAAGACACTGCTGATGTTGACCTGGAAGAATATATAGAAAAATCCTATTTTGTAAAACTACAATGTGTTTGTGTATAGATAAACTTGGACACAAATGTTCACAGCACCATTTTGTATACACACGTACACATACATGGATTATCACACATACTCTAAACTCTAGAAGTGAATACACCAAATCTCTGGACAGTGGGATTGCAGGTAATAATTTTTAACATTTTCATGGTATTATTTTTCTATCATGGTCATATACTGTTATACTTACATGATTTCTAAAAAATAATATTGAAAACAGCCTTACTAAATCCAAAGAAGACAATTTAGGAGTTTCTTGAAACTAAAACTACAGTTCCATTGGAGCCCTCATGCACTGTGGTGGGAGTGTAAAATGGAGCAGCCACTTTGGAAAACAGTTTAGCGAGTCCTCAAAAAGTCAGAGTTACTGTTTGACCTGGCAATTCCACTCCTAGGTACATACCCAAGAGGAAGGAAAACAGGTCTACATAAAAACCTGTGCACAGTTTTCATAGCAGTATTACTCATAGTAGACAAAAGCGGAGTATCTAAAGATCCATAAACAAACTGCAGTATATTCATAGATAAGAGTATTGTTGTTGTTGTTGTTATGTGCCGTCGAGTCAGCCCTGACTCATTGCGACCCCTTCTTGGGTTTCCAAGGCAGTATCACTACGGAAGTAGGATTGCCCAACCTTCCTTCCGAGGAGTGGCTGGTGGGTTTGAACCACCAGCCGTCTGGTTAGCAGGCAAGTGTCTTAGCCACTATGCTACCAGAGCTCCCAGATAAGAGTATTATTCACCCATAAAGAGAAAGAAGTTCTGACATACGCTACAGTATGGATGAACCTTGAGAACAGTAGTTAAGTGACAGATGCCAGACACAAAACGCTACATGCATAGTATACGATTCCATTTACATGAAATGTACAGAACAGGCAAATCTATAGGGACAAAAAGTAAATGAGTGGTTTCCTGGTGCCGAAGGGAATGAACGAGGCAGAGGTCAGGGCGAGAGCTAAAGGCTATGGGGTTTCTTTTTGGGATTAAGAAAATGTTCTAAAATTGTGATGATGGGTTATACAACTCTGAATATACTAAAAACCAATGAATGGTACACTTTAAATTTATGGTATGTGAATTACAGATTAATAAAGCTATTACAAGAAAAAAATAACAACTGTAAGAAGGAATGACAGACAAACCTAACCCAAAACACCCACTGCCATGAAGTCTATTCCGACTTACAGCGACCATAGAGGATAGAGAACTAACTGCCCCACAGGGTTTCCAAGGCTAAAATCTTTACAGAAGCAGATGGCCTCATCTGTCTCCCATGAAGTGGCTGGTGGGTTTTAACCACTGACCTTTTGTTTAGAAGCTGCATGCTTTAGCCACTGAGCCACCATCCCTGACAAAGAATCCTCATATTTTAAAATGTAATTTACTAATAAACCATTTGCTGAATAAATTAAAGGTGAAATTCAATTGTGATTCAACAAATACCCACAAGATGGCACCAGAGTCTTGATGATCCACCCTCTTCCCCACTTGAGAGGTAGCTTTCTGGGTGTTTTGTTTTTCTCTTGCTTAGTATTATAACTTCGCCCTAAATGAATTCTAAGCAATGGCACATATGAGAATCCACTCAGAAAACGACTGTTGCCACTGTTAGGTGCCATTGAGTTGGTTCCAAATCATAGCAACCATATGTACAACAGAATGAAACACCTCTTGGTCCTGCACCATTCTTATAATCCTTGCTATGCTTGAGCCTGTCGTTTTAGCCATTGTGTCAATCCAACTAGTTGAGGGTCTTCCCCTTTGTCACTGACCCATTTACCAAGCATGATATCCTTAAAAAAATTACAAACCCTGAATGGCACTTGTTAGGTGCTGTCAAGTTGTTTCCAACTTATGTTGTTGTTATGTGCCGTCGAGTCGGTCCTGACTCATAGCAACCCCTCCTTGGGTTTCCAAGGCGGTATCACTACGGAAGTGGATGGCCCAACCTTCCTCCCGAGGAGTGGCTGGTGGGTTTGAACCACCAGCCTTCTGCTTAGCAGTCAACTGCCAACTCATAGTGACCCTTTGTACAACAGAACAAAACACTTGTTCCATTCTTAAAATCAGTATGTTGCAGCCATTGTGTCAATCCCTCTTGTTGAGGGTCTCCCCCTTTTTTGCTGACCCTCTACTTTACCAAGCATGAAACCTATCTCCAGGGGATGGTCCCTTCTGACATGACAAAAGTAGGTGAGATGAAGTCTGGCCATTGTTGCTTCCAAGGAGCATTCTGGTTGCACATCTTCCACGACAGATTTGTTTCCTCTTCTAGTAGTCCATAGTACTTTCAATATTCTTCACCAGCACCACAATTCAAAGGCATCAACTCTTCTTCAGTCTTCTTTATTCACATGTCCAGCTTTCACATGCATTATGAGGCAACTGAAAACACCATGGCTTGGGTCAAGCTACCTTACTCCTCAAACTGACATCTTTGCTCTTTCATACTATAAAGAGGTCTTTTGCAGCAGATCTACCCAATGTGTGGTAATAATGGGAATGAGTTTTCTTGGGAATAGCCACTTGGTTGCTAAAAAGAGACTGAGTCCTTACCTTCAAAGAGCTTGGTACACAGATATCACTCTAACAAAACGCTGTAATGGAAGAAACAACATACTTGCACTGGCACCACAGAGTAAGGAGCAATTAACTCAGGGAGTGGGCGAGTGTCCAGGAAGGAAGTATGTTAAGTATTAATAGCGACAAACCCCAAAAAAAACAAACCCACTGCTGTCGGGTCGATTCCAACTCATAGCGATACCCACTGGGTTTCCGAGGCGGTAAATCTTTACAGAAGTAAATTGCCCAGTCTTGCTTCTGCAGAGTGGCTGGTGGGTTTGAACCACCAACCTTCTGGTTAGCAGTCAGATGCCTTAGGCACTGTACTACCTTATCAAATAGCGAGAAGGATCTAGAAACGCCAAACAATCCACAAAGCACAGCTTCCCAACCTCTTTCACATCATGGTACACAGAAAATGAATCCCTTCGGAAGAGACAGTAGAGTATGCCAGAGGAGGCTTCCAAAAACCAAACCCAGCCCACTGCCTTTGAGTTGATTCCGACACAGCGATCCCCACTGGGTTTCCAAGGCTATAAATCTTTATGGCAGTAGATTGCCTCATCTTCCTCCCATGGAGGAGCTGGTGGGTTTGAACCATTGACCTTCTGGTTAGCAGGCAGCTGCTTGACCTACTACATGACCAGAGCACCTAGGGCTTCCTAAAAAACCTCATTCCATTATATATTTATGCATAAATATAAAATAAAATGCACTAGGGAAAATACAAAATACTGAGTTTATATAAAATTTTTAAATTATATCCTTTTAACCTTTATAAATGAGATATTTAATCTAACTTCTATAAACATGACTTTAAAAAATTTTGTGATCACCTATATTATGTTGCTTATAAATTCAAGGCTGTAAAATGTATCAAGAGACAATTTCTATGAAGGTTCTCATTTTCTCTATCTTCATGGACTGCACAGGCCAAAATCTGAAAACACAAACAAACAAACTTATATTTGGTTACCTGAAACTTTCCTTCTCAAGCTTGCGTTTTCCTGTGGGAGATAACTTCATCAATTCAATAGATACCAGCAGCAGGAAAGTGTCTTTTATGGTTCATGGACTTTCATTAGTTGATGTGGAGACAGTTCTCCTTTTCTGTCATTATCATTTCCATCTTCATCATTTCTAATGAGATGACTGTGGCAGCTGAAGCAACTTCAGCTTCTTGATCAAGAAGAGAAAAATCCAGTTCCAATGAGAGGGCCTTGTATATGAGTATATACGCTGCTTTGGACACAATCTGGCCGCCTGAGGCAGTCGAGACACTTACTGTCATCAAAATCATACCACTCTCGTATTTATTCCCTGTGAAAGTAGTCTAGTGCCTTCCTTCCATCCCTCCATGGTAGTTGGGAATAACAATAAAACTATAGTGGCAAGGATCTGCATTTAAATTCATAGGGATTCTGACATGTCCAAGTCACTGCTGGGAAAATCAACTAAGGCATCCAAATGATTTCTCCTGCATCTACTGTAAGAAAATTGCTTGAGATATATGCAACACAAGTACCAAAGGCAGGGTTTATATATGCAATGTCTTAGGGGCATCCAGAGAATTTGGACAACAGCAGGGATCTGACAGAGCAACAGGAGGGATCTTAGGTAAGAGGAAGGACACAGGCTCCACCCCAAAGAGGCAGGAAGCAGGGGAACGAGAAGCCAGGGGACCACAGGTTTTAAATCAAGAAGGGAGTGCATCAGGGTTATATCCTTTTCCCATACTTATTCAATCTGTATGCTGATCAAATAATCCAAGAAGCTGGATTATATGAAGAAGAATATGGCATCAGGATTGGAGGAGAATCATTAACAACCTGCGATATGCTGATGACACAACTTTGCTTGATGAAAGTGAGGACGACTTGAAGCACTTACTGATGAAGACTGAAGAATACAGTCTGCAGTATGGATTACAACTCAATATAAAGAAAACAAAAATCCTCACAACTGGACCTATAAGCAGCATCATGATAAATGAAGAAAAGACTGAAGTTGTCAAAAACTTCACATTGCTGGGTTCTATAATCGGTAACAATGGAAACAGCAGCAAGGACATCAGATGATGTATAGC